CTAATAGTCTAATCCCTACCCCCTCTTCAGGTGCTACAGGCACTCCTGCCCTGTTCTAACCCACTTTCCAGACTCCAAAGTGATTCCTTCCAAGTATAAGGGAATGTTATTCCCCTGCTTTACAACTCTTTTTTTTTTTTTAAATGATTTATTTATTTATTTATACAAGCACTGGGTACAGTCAGAAGCACGGGAGGGTGAGAGAATTCACCAGAGCCAGAGCCGGGAGCAGAACAGGCAGACCGACTGAAATACACTGCTGAGGGGAGCAGCAGGTGGCAGGAGAGGTCTGCGCAGTATGTGGGACCCTCCTCCAGTGGCCAGGGATCGAACCGGCGCTGCAGAGGCTGCGGACAGCTTTGCAGCCCTGCGCTCAACCGCTGCGCCACCAGGGAGGCCTGCTTTACAACTCTTAAGAGACTTTCCAATTGCTCTTAAGATAAAGACCAAATTCTTTCCACGGCACTCATGGCCCTGTAGGATTCAGAGTGAGCTCACTCTCAACTTCACTGTTCAAGGCTCTCCCTCTGCTCTTTACACTCCAGCCACCCAGCCCCCTCAGTACTTCCAAAGTGCCATGTTTCTCCCTGAAATCAGGGGCTTCTCACTTTCATTTCCCTCAGCCTGGCATTCTGCCACCTTCAGAGAGGAGTTCAAATATCATGTCCTCATTGATGCCTCTCCTGACCCCAAGCTAGGAGGGGATGACTCCTTACACACCCTCACAGCCCCCTGAGCTTCTCTCATAGCACCTAACAGTGTTTATAGTTACATGGCCACAAGCACTCTGGGGTTTATAGGCTCAAACATTTGCAGATGTGTACCTCCACACCCTGCCCACCACTGTGGCCCCAACAACCTCCACCAAATTCCATTGGGCCCTTCCCATCCCCTCTCCCATCCTTCTGAAACAGGGCTGTAGGGAGGGCTATAATCTCTAAGGACAGGCCACTGTCTGTGGGTTCTTCACCCACACACACAATCATAAGACAACTCAGGCTCAGGGAACAACAACAATGGGGTTTACTTAACAAACAGGGAAAACAGGAGTTCTTAAGGCCACAGGGGCTGGCTATCTCACCCCAGATAGTGTCCACAGGGCCCAAAAGTCCTAAACAAAAGATTATTCATCCAAGATGTCACTGTCCCCTCAACAAGGATTTGGAGTATATGGCCTGCTGATAAGCATGCCAGGGTCCAACTCACCGCAGCTGGAGGGGCTCACAGGCAGAGCTGCTGAGATAATGCTGCAGCACCCGTAGCAACAGTCTGAAGGTCGGGATGGATAGCACCAGATACTGGACCAAACAGCCATGGAGGCTGCAGTACCAAGAGGAGGTGGTAGAAGATGAAGAGCTCTCAGAGGTTACCCTGACGCAGAGAGCCGTCACTCCTCAACAGTGCTGGGCAGTAGTGCTGGTCACTACCGGTCACTAGCATCACAGCTCTTTGTGAGTTGATGGCCCACACCAACAACAAACAACTCTTTTAAGACACCAGGCCCGAGGCCTGTCTGCGGCAGGCAGCAGCCCCAGCCTCTGCAAAGTGCTTCAGCTTCTCTGCGAAGATTTTCAGCTTCTCTTCTTCCTTCAGAGGTGGCTGCTGGATGAGTCTGAGAACATTCAGCCTGAGCAAATGTTCAGTCCAGATCATCCCAAGTGAGACCAAGTAAGTCTGATTTATGTCCTAGCAAGTCTCAGAGGGTGCCAGAGCGCAGGAGTCCAGAAACCCAGAGCCCAAGTGCCAGAGCCAGAGCCCCAAGCTGGCTTCTCTCCGCCTTATCTCCTCTCTCCAGGACCCCAGCTGCCAGTCTGATTGGAACAGTTTCAATCCTATGGCTGATTGGGCCATTTCCCAATCAGTTCATAGCTCACACCTGATCAGTCCACTCTATAATCCAGGCATCAAGTCCAAGGGCCTCTCTATTTCCTACAGCTGGAGGGAGCCTCAGTGTTGGAGCCGGCCCGGAGGGGCCCCAGGGGCAACATACTCTGGGGTGATGTGCTAGGGGAACCACTGCCATCACCATCACAACTGGCCTGTGCCAGCAGCCTGAGCCCCAGTGAGACCACTGGTGGTGGGTACTAAAATACCCACTAAAATACCCACTCCCTGCTGCCTCCTGCACTGCTCAAAAGCTGTGCTCTGGGGTCAAGAGCTAGAGTCCTGAGGAGGGGGGGGGTCTCTGGGTCACCTCTAGCCTCTCCCCTGGTTTTCTCAGTTATGCAGTCAGACAATGAGTTTATTATTGGTTTGTTATGTTTCTCTCTGTTCCACAGAGAAGAGAATTTCTCAGTGGCCTACTCAAGGAAGCATCTTGCGATGATGGACGGGAATATATGCAAGATCAATTTGAGAAATCGATGTGCTTAGAGACTCACACAGACATGCCCACGACATAATCTCCTTCTGTACAGGCTGCTTTACAAATCCATGCAAAATGTAATTGAGTTGCAGCTGTTGAAATTTACAATTGTACTTCTTTTTTATGATGATGTGTTTGAACTTCAGTTGTTAATGCTGCTTGTTTTTAATGTTCAAGGAGTCTGATCATTTTTAAACTTTGCCTTATATTTTAGAAACTACTCTGAACCCTGGTTTTTCAATAACTTTCAGTGAAGCACATTAAAGATTTGGCTTGTCAAAAGGAAGATGACTATTTCAATCACACAGCATTAAAGTAACTCAGGGAACAAATAGATTTTCTACATTGTTCTAAGGGAGAAAAGAAGTCACTGGGCCTTATCTTGAGCTTGGTTTGGTGACTTTGTTAAAACTGGCCCCGCTATGACTCTGTGCCGTGCCTCCCAATAACTGAGCTTCCTGGCAGGTGTGGGTCTCTCAGTCTCCGAAAGACTAAGGGTTGTGCTTGTACCTACACTCTCCCAGCCTCTAACTTCTTTTGATAAATACCTCTGCCCGGATTGGGAGCTGTTATATCACTTTGCTTAAGATATTCTTGTCTTGATCTATCAGAAAGTTCTGATTTAGGTTCCACTTTCTTGACTCAGTGTCCAAAATCTCTTACTTAAATCCCTATCACTGCATGCAAGGGGAGGGGGCCTTTACCAGCCCTTGACGTTTCCCTGGACTTTGCATACATGGCCCATCCCACAAGCACCTTAGTCATTGATGACTTGAAGTTCAGAAGGTCCTAGACTCAAAGAGGGTCCTTTCAATCTCTGCTCATTTATTCATGCAATTCATGTTCAAGGTGCTAGATATCACCTGCTGGCTACCTGGCTTTCCATCAGTGACATGGCCCTCTGTTTCTGTTGACCTTCCCTTGACACCTACCTAGATTCAGAATTCTTCTTGAGTTTTATTTTTTTTTTTTAAGATTTATTTATTTTTTTTTTTACATAAGCACTGGGTATAGTCAGAAGCGCGGGAGGATGAGAGGATTCACCAGAGACAGAGCGGGGAGCAGAGCAGGCAGAGTGACGAAATACACTGCTGAGAGGAGAAGTGGGCATGGCAGGAGAGGTCTGCGCGCCATGTGGGACCCTCTCCAGTGGCCGGGGATCGAACCAGCACTGGAGAGGCTACAGGCAGCTTCGCAGACCAGCGCTCAACCGCTGCGCCACCAGGGGAGGCCTCTTCTTGAGTCTTGAGACCTGAGTGATGCCCAGGCAGTGGTTTGCCCAGAAGGCAAGCTCCCATGTCATGAGCTGGTCCTATTTCCCCACATTTTAAGTCATCAATTATACAATTCCTCAAGTGGCAGGTGTCCCCCTCAGAGCATCCCCCAAAGATGTCATAAACCCCCACCTTAATACTGCAATCTCTTCACTCTGAGGTTCAGAGACAACGCAACACATTCCTATTCACCCTGAACCTCAGGAAGCAAACATTTTCCCAATACACACAAGAGGAGTTTGTGTTAAAGGGACCAGCCAGTGCAAAGCACCCACTGTGTCTCAGAGGCAGCCTGAGCTCCTTCCACATCCTAGTGGACTTCAGCTCCAACAAGATTCTGAGTGGCATCATTGTTTATCCTCTGCCCTAGACTGCAAGGGATGCATCAGCCACACTGAACTCTGCACCTGAAATGTGAACTGAACACCAGCCACAAAGCCCTCCCTCCACCCCGCCCCAGCCCAGGCTCAGACTCGCTCCCAACCACAGCAGCAACTGTGCCAAGAACTCCATATGATCCCTAACAAGGGAGAGAGCAAGACTGGTTTTCCAGAGCCCCCCAGGGCTGGTGGAGACCACCTCTGTCACCTAAGAGCTCTCTCCAGCTCAGGCACTTAGAAAAGCATTGCCAAGTACATACAGATTTCTTTCATCATTTTCAATTACTAAGGAAAGGTATCAATTGTTAAAGAAAACTAAAAAATACCCACACTGACTGTGAAATCTTTTCATTTCCCACTCTTTAGGTAATGTGTTCTGATTGCAACTATTTCAAAAGACAAGATTACATACCAGGGGAGCAAAAAGATAAAGCAGGGAAGTATGTTCGCTGCTGAGACCCTATCAGAGCTCAACTTGTGTTTGGAAGCAAAGGCAATTTTTTTTCCCGTCTTAATGAAACCTTGTTAACCAGGGACATGGGCGCAGAACTGATGTAGTGAGAGGTCTTGCTGGGTCATTGGGAGGTCCCTAGAGGTCACTGGTAAACTCTGGGATTGTTGAGTTTCTTGTCTCTCAAAGCAAGAGAACTTAAATATTTACTAAAAACTCTTCCCATTTAGGTAGAGAAAATGAAAGGACAAAATCAAAGTTCATCATCTTTTTCAGATAGAAATACGCATAACACCCACATTTGTAAGATAGACACCAAAATATTTGAATTTTCAAATTTTGTTTCTCCCAACCCCGCTCATTTTTCCAGTTCTCTTTGTCAGCAACTCGCCTGTCTTGTCTTGCTGCAATAATGTTTTAATTGTGGGGGTGGCAGATAAATTAAGGGTGTACTATTTGCTATTTTTCTCTACAAGGCATAAATGTTTGTTACAAATACAGACATCAGACAAACGAACACCTGTACTTACCGGGACAAACTGGTGTGCCCTTCTGTGTCTTAAAATGATTGGGGCTCCACTGATGGTAAGGCTGAGGAAAGAAATGGACACCGTTTTAGGATTTAATCCATCACCATATTCTTGCCTTGGTGTTTAATTCCCATATAGCTGAAAATATCCAACACAAACACAGAGCAAAGCATTGCTTTATAAACCCCTGTTACAAGAGTAGGCAAGAAAAGAAGCTCACATATAATAGATAGATGCTCTGTGTCATTCATTTATCAGTAAGCTTTAACAGAGCTTCAGAGCTCATGTGTCATATCTAGGAGTCTACATGAGAAAATGATCACAGTATTGAGCTGGGACACAAGTTGATGATTCTAGAACTACATGGATAAAGGAGTGATCACAGAAAAAGAAAATCTCCCCCCCCCGCCAGAAGTTGAGATACAAATATGAGATACAAAAAGCACAGGATAGGGGGCCTCCCTGGTGGTACAGGGTTTAAGCACAGCACTGTGAAGCTATATGCAGCCTCTGCTGCAGAGTTTGATCCTAGGTGGGCAGGGGAGCTACCCACATGGCACAGTAGACCTCTCCTGTCTCGCCCACTGCTCCCCTCAACAGTGTATTTCAGTCAGTCTGCCTGTTCTGTTTCCCACTCTAATGAATCTGCTCACCCCCTCCCCATCTCTGGCCTGTACCCCAGCTCTTGTATGCATAAATAAATAAATCTAAAAAAAAGAAGCACAGGATAGACTATACAACTTCTAAGATTCTTTCTACTTCTTCAACTCTTTGAGTACATAAATATGATTTAACATGAGAAATCTTGCGTAGGCCCAAGAAGGCTACCAATGTATGCAGTTTGTGTTGTGCACTTGCTTCTTCTCTGTGGCTTTCGAAGAGTTTACTTATCTAAACAAGATTCGGTTGAAGAAAAATCAATGTTTGTATAGAGTATGTTTACATATAAGACATCTTTAAGGTTTAAATTAACAAAATAAAAACCTAAAAAAGTAATCCAGCTCAGGATTTCTTTGTTTTATAAAGGAGGAATCCCAGGGATACTCAGAGCTCTGTTCCTACCAGGCATCATTCCAGGGAGGGGCAGAGCTGAAACCAGATCCCAGGCCCCAGGCCAGGCTCCGGCCTCTGGGTGTGGGGCCGCCAGGTGACAGGCCCCATTTGCCTAACGAGGAAACAGTGTCACCTAGTGGTAATTTTTCAGCTTTTTAGATGAGCTGTGATTCAACTCATGCAAAAGGTGATGAAAACCATTTCATTCTTCTGTCTGCTATCTCCAATTGCCCAGAACACTATTTCTGGACTGTTTTCCCTTTTTCCAAGTTTTCCACAATCCATCATTTCCACACAGGACAACTTCCAATAATTCCTTCGGCCACTGGCAATTTTTAGCTGTTTCTTGTGCCAAACGTTGAAACAGCATCAGGAATCAGCTGGCCTAGGGACCAAGCCCTCCGAGGGTCTCGTCTTTGGAGTGTCTCTTGGATCAAGCTTTTAGCAAAATAACACTCTTAACCATACATAATTTTAGACCTTTGGCCAATAGATGTATTTAAATAAAGAAATATCATTCTTTCTGATGAAGATCCAGAAGTGCTTTACATCAGCTATGCTGATATAACACTTTTCCTCTTCTACCAACAGATTGTGGTAATTTTATTGCTTTTAAAATAATTCTGGGGGCCTCCCCGGTGGCGCAGCGGTTGAGCTCTGGGTTGGGAATCTGCCCGCAGCCTCTGCCGCGATGGTTCGATTCCCAGCCACTGGGTGAGGGTCCTGCATGGCGCACAGACCTCTCCGGCCGCCCACTGCTCCCCTCAGCGGTGTATTTCATCGGTCTCCCTGTTCTGTTCTCCGCTCTGGCTCTGGTGAATTCTCTCACCCTCCCACGCTTCTGACTGTATCCAGTGCTCGTATAAATAAATAAATAAATCTTTAAAAAATAATAATAATAATTCTGGGAGGTCCTCCCTGGTGGTACAATGGGTTAAGTCTCAGATTATGAAGCTATCCACAGTCACTGCAGCATGAGTTCCATCCCCGACCCGGGTGACCTACATGGCACAGCAGACCTCTCCTGACTTGCCCGCTGCTCCCCTCAGCAGTGTATTTCAGTCCTTCTGCCTGTTCTGCTCCCCACTCTGTCTCTGGTGAATCCTCTCACCCCCACACCTCTTGTATGCATATTTTTTAAAAAAATAATAATTCTGGGTATTGCCCAGGATAGGTCTGTGAACAAGTGTGTGGATTAGTTTCAGACAAGCACATGTATTTATTCATTTTTCCATGTTCTCAACCATTCAGCTTCTGATTATGTTCCAGACACCAAGACCTGTCCCTTGTCCTCATTTGGGAGGTAGAAAACAAAATACATCAACAAATAATTGTTCTTGATAAATGCTCCATTTTAAGTAAGGTAAAGAGAAAGGGAAAAATCTGCTCAGGTTAGAAAAAATGCACAAAGGAGAAAATAATGGACTTGAATTTTGAAGACAGGTAGGCCTTTTGGTCTCTGAAGGAGAGACAGGGGTGGCATGCTAAGCAAGGGGATAGCAAAAGCAAAGGTCCAAAGTCAGGCAAATACAGGCATGAGATGGTATGATAAGGGGCCAGCAATAGTCCACTGCATTCACACACACACACATACATACCACATACACACATACACACCCTACACTACACAAACACAACACATATCACACACACGCACGCGCACACACACACACACACAAGCAGATGAATGGGAAGTGATGTGGAAAGGCAGTTTAGAATTAAAATACAAAGATGTTTAGATGCAATCCCAGAAAATTAGACTTTATATCCAGTGAGATACTATCATATTATATGCTATAGAAAAAAAGATGAGTTTTGAGATCTCTAGGAAATAAAGACCTTTATTCATTCCAGTCATTTTGCACTTACTTTCTTCATGAAATTGCACTCTCTCTTTACAACTATTAAAACCAAGACCCTGAGCATGAACTACATGTCAGTGCTGGGGCAAGAACTCAGAGCTCTTGGCTCCCAATCTATGTCTTTATAATAAAGAGCTAGAGAAGTCTATGAAAAAATGATTAAATCAGCAAAATAATTTTACATTAGAAACTTTCTGGGTTTTCCTCCAATTTTGTTCCACTATAAAACCTCTCCAAGTCCATTTAAATATTCACAGTTATCCTTTTTAATCATGGGCCTGCTTCATAAATGAGAAAAATAATTTGATAGGCTTTATATTTAAAACCACTCATAAGAAAATGGTCAGAAAATTTTCAGACTGAAAGATGTAATAAAAAAGAATAAAGAAATGTAAAACACCACAGACTAAGGAAGGAAGGAGAAATAAAAGGAACCATAGGTATCAGGAAAGTATAGCTATATGTAGATTTCTAGAAAAGTCTTTCCATTGGTTTTGTAAAGACATTTCCATTGATGTCAGAGGAAAAGATTGTATACTAATAGATGCCATTAAAAGACAGTCTAGGCAACCAACTCTAACTTGGTAGTCAAGAGGCCAATTTTTTTTTTTCAAGAACTTTCTCTTTATGAAATTGGGCCAGTGTTTTTTATCTCTGCTTGGCTTATACAAGTAGAGAATCTATCTAGTAAAATCTTGATTCAAAAGACAACCTCACTATGCCTGCTGTTTCATTAATTATGTTCATTCACGTGTCTTGTCTCACAGAGCATTCCTACATTTTCTATGCCTTTGAATTAATAATACGAGATATGTCTGAGCTGACATTTCTTTCCAAATGAATGTCAGATATTTCACATTGAGCTCAGAGCTAATATCATATGCTATAGTGCACTGACCTGTGCCTTTAACCATAGCATTTTATATCTGAGGCTGACATTCCCATTCATCAAGTGAATAGCCAATGAGACAAGGAACAAATAAATGGTCTGTCCTGCATCTGAAACTGCCAAACCACAAAGGATAACTGGATTACACAACTCCTCCTTGAAAGTCAAATCGTAGATTTCAGTATGTCATTTTTAAATTCTCCTCCCAGCAAAAAAGGTGATTGTCAAGCCACAAAATCGTGGGAATGAGCTGCACTGGGCACCCTCCCCAGTTTCCCACTTCTATAGAGTCAGCTCCCTTGGCAGTTGGCCCCTCTAAGGACTGCCTCAGAAGCCTGGAGTGCTCAGAAGCCTGGATCACATAGAATCAGCCTTTGGCCATGTTGGCCCACCACTGTCAGCTGTAATCAAAGCCAGATGACCAAAGAAGCCTCAGCTGGAGAATTTCTTCTACAAACATGGCCTTCTGTGATTTTCAATTCTCTGTGATTTTCACAGCTTAGCAAATATATGAAATTTCTAGACACTCTAAAAAGAGGGTGGGACTGAATGGAGTGAGGTTCTTGTGTCTGTTAAGAGTACTGGTCCTAGATGCTAACACACTACAGGGCAGAGTCTCCAATTTCAGTGGCACTAAGTAGAATTGTTCATGTCCATTGGGCCACCTTCTGCAATAAGCCTGTATGGGGAGTGAGTCTAACTGAACCACTGTAAAAAAATAAAAATAAAAATGTGAATGGACACTTACCATAAACCCAGCACTGTGCTAGGGAAATGGTCAAAATCCTGCTCTTGTGTAACTGACAAGTGACATACAGGAAAAAGAGCCTGACCTAGAGTCTAAATCACTAACAGCCACCCTAGGGAACTGGTGCCTAAACAGATATTAAGGGAAAAGATGAAAAGGAAGCCAGGGGTCCTCAAAACTCACAACGGGATGAATTCCACAAATGATTGGATGTCTTTGACTGACCCAGGCAGGACTGGCTTTCTAGAACAGCTAGTTCTTTCTATCTGCCATCTTAAGATTTGCTTAACTTTATGAAATGTGGCTCCCTAAACTAGCCAAGCACAGTTGTCAGGAGTAGCATGATATCTCAAGTGTCTGTTCCCTCTGGCTCACCACTCTGCAAATCCATTTTACAGGAATACAGCAGCACATCCGTGTACATATCACTGTGACAACTTTTGCTCTACAATGCCATTATTAAATAGCTTAGAAATGAAAAGTATGGCCCATGAAGCCTAAAATATTTATTATCTGACTCTATAGAAAAATCTTTCTAACTCTTGCAACTCCAGAAAAAAGTTTGTCAACAGCTGCAACAATGGCTAGAGACTCTGTGAACCAAATTTATGAAATGTTAGGAAGGTGCTCCCAAGGGTCCTTGGGACCAGGGAGCACCTTCAGACCATGGGTCCTTCAGACCATGATGTCATATGCCAAACATTAGGTATTTGAGAAAGTCAAGACAAGTAACCTGACAAGAGCACACTGGGTCCTTCAGACCAGGGTCCTTCAGACCATGATGTCATATGCCAAACATTAGGTATTTGAGAAAGTCAAGACAAGTAACCTGACAAGAGCACACTGATTCTGTGAAATGCAGAAGCTAATGACCCCCCCGCTCCGGCAGGAGCTGGTATCCACTATTTGGGGTGGGGTTGGGGGTGTATGAATACCGGACCCAGAAGAGTGTATCCACTTAGCAGAAAGCCAGACCCAAGCAGCGTGATTTCACAATGGCGCTCCAGACAGTGGGTCAATTTTTCTTCCTCCACACCTGGAAATGTCTTCCTGTGAAAGACTTACCTGATGCTATCCCTGACATGACAGCTTCAGCAAGGATGGAAGCTGACTGAAGACAGAGCATGAGGGTGTGAATGTCCATGAGTTATCAGGGCCATTGGAGAGATGAGGGCGGAGCATGGGCAGCTCGACATATCAGTGTGACATAATCTGATCACAGCCCACAGGTTTCCTCAAGCAGGAGGTAAAGGCGTCTGCACATACCACACAGTAGAAAGCATCAGATTGACCAGACTGGTCCATGATGCCACCCAAGGCATGGGACACACCCAAGGCCAGCAGGGTCATGGGACACACCTCTTCCTCAGGCTGAGAAACGCAATGTGATCAAAGTAGGAGCCATTGAGATGGGAGATCCTGAGCACTGAGGCACAGAAGAGGACCCCTACTAGCCTAGGACCCCTACACATCACCCCCAGTATGGCGATGTGTCTCTACTGTAAGTGTCAGAAGGACTCACAGGCAGCAAGAAAACCCCCATTGCACAAGGAGAAGGAACAGGGAGACACCCTGCCTATAAAGAGCAAAGCAAACGGGGCCGAAAGGACTTTTATTCTCATGATGTGAACATTGGAAAAACTGGGACATTCAGAGCCTTGGCCCACTCCCTCCCCAAAGTTTTCAGGGGTCTTCTTGGGACTCTACTTGTGATTTCAGTTTGCATTCATTTTTGATTTCAAGGTTCCGTGCACGGTGATGCATCCCATGATGCACCTGGTGAGACCTATGGCTGGCATTGCTGGCCATCTCTTGCCAGTTGATCCATAACATTTTGTGGTCCCAGGTAGCAGTGGAAGGTTCTGGGAAGGTGCTGGTAAGCCCCTTACAGCATGAACTCCCTCCCCATCTCTGGGTAGCAGTGGCTGCTATCAAGCATAAGAAGGTGGAGATCACAACCGGTGTTCTCTTGAACTTGAACTCTGAGCAACGTGAGGAAGTTAGCCAGGGTTGAAAGTAGACTAGACTCCAGGCAAGGAAAGTCACAGCAGCCCAGAGACAATATTCCGGCCACAGCCACAGCTAGAGTCTCAGGTGGTAAATTACAATAAAAACACACAACTGGGGATTTGGCTGTTGAATATCTAAGCATCCTTTGTAGATAAACTCTGGATACAGGACAGATAAAGCCAAGAGTGATTTAGTATTTGGAGTTAGTACTGGATTTGAGGATGACTAGGACCAGGCTGATCACCAAGCAAGCAATCCACATAAAAACACTACCTGATAGGGGCAAGATGTAAATGTAATCTTGAAATATCCCAGACAAAAGGCTAGAAACCAGAGATCCCAGCTAGATGCTGGAGGATAGAGCTGGGGAAAGCCCCCAGACTGATCCCTGGTGCACACCTGGGGTCTTCTTTGTGCATTTGCATTCAGAGTTCCAATTCCATTGATGAAAGATCCCACATACACTTAGTGTAAGAGTTTGTGCAAAAGGATTCAGAAAACTTGCCTCTGGCTCTACCACTGATCAGGCCCTCCCACTTCCTATCTGCAGTCCCTTTTGGAACTAAGGTGAGCATGCAGGCAGACAGGGCCAGAGCGAATCAGGTATCCTAGCAAATCATGATCTGCTGGACCTCCCTGGTGGCAAAAGGGGATAAGACGCAACCCATGAAGTTATCCTCAGCCACTGCAGCACGAGTTTGATCCCAGCCAGGGAGCTACCCACATGGCACTGCAGACCTCTCCTGACTCCCCCGCTGCTCCCCTCAGCAGTGTATTTCAGTCAATCCACCTGTTCTGTCCCCCATTCTTTCTCTGGTGAATCCTCTCACCACCACCCCACATACCTCTGGCCTGTACCCCAGTTCTTGTGTGCATAAATAAATAAATCTTAAAAAAAAAATCATGACCTGCTAATCCTACCTAACTTCCAGGATATAGTGGAAAACCAATTTCTAAGTGAGTATGTAATGTGACATTGGGGTAGATGTTGGTCTATGAATTGGGCTACCTGAGACCTTACCCTGCCTGTGCTGACTCTGTGTGTCTCACTGAATGATTTAGTCTCTGATACAAAGTCTCTGACATAGTGTAGGGTAGGTAAAAGGTATCAGGCTTTTCTGCCCTCCCGCCATTAGTGAGGGAACCCTGTGGCCCTGAATGCATGCCTGATAGTGGGCACCTAAAGTGGGTACACCCGGGCTGAGAGACTGGACTTTTAAGGGCGGCGTCACGGGGATGACTACGGCAGCAGAAGCCGAGAGAGAAGCCAGCAGCAGAGAGAAGCCAGCAGCAGCAGAAGATGAGAGAGAGAGAGTGAGAAGACCGGAGGGCCCAGATAGAGTGAAGACTTGCTGGGGGCTGGGAGGCCTGCCAGCCTCCCGGCCCTCCAGCACCCCTGCCTTCTGTGTACCCGGTAAATCCCAGTAAAAGCCTGCAAAAGCCACTGAGGACTCTGACTCCTCCTTCACCCAGTCCACTGGATCAGAAAACCTGCTCTGTGTCCATTCCTGGCCCTACACATAGCCTCATCGGGCACATTTTTAGAAGACGCAGTTGAGTGTCTCTCACCTGCAGTGAGTTGCTTGAAGAAAGGATTTCTATTATTGAGCGATTTGCAGCCAGAGTTCCAATTCCATTTTGGAATTGGAATTAGGTCCCTTTTGGAACTAATATCCCATAATTATTAATAAATCAAATGGTATATTGTGATGAAGCATGCTGGCAAAAGACAGATCCATAGGGGCTTGTACAATCCCCTTAAAATTATTATTAATGAAATCTTTGACTTGCAGATGCTGTATGCAGGGATTGGTGAGATGCCCACAAAGTAATCTTCTGTTTCCTTGTACAAACCATGGAAATTGAGATCAATAAAACTCTGTTAAACATTACTAAGGGAGTGGGCCATGGTGAGAGTTAATAACCTATTACCCATGCTATTCTTTTCCCCTTGATCCAGAATTTCCATTCCTTCCTCTGCTAGGGCATGCCTGCAGTGCATACTTGCATTAACACTCTAGTTCAATTACCTTTAAATCCAGACACTATTAATTTATGTCAAAATTCAGGGAGAGTCATTTCACACAGATCTCCTGAACTGGTCCCAGTTTTGTTCCTAGAATGATAATTGGGAGTTTAGCGAGCATGAGTAAATTGGAAAATGTAGTGATAAGACCTAGAAATGCCAACCAAAACACAAGGCAGAAAGGAGACCTAGGGAGGAGAAGCATTTCCTTCAGGATCTCCACAGCACCAATGAACTTACAACATGAAAAGAAGAACAGAGTCATTCATATTTTCAGACAAGTGTTTTTCATGTTGCATAAATTTTGTTTAAGTAAATCATAGCCATGTAATCAAGAGCCCGCACACAAACTACAATAGCTTTTATATGCACATGCCACGGGGGTTTAGATCTTTGGGTGTGCAAAGAGGTTTTATTTTTTTCTTTCTAAAGCTTTTCCTACTCTTTAAAATCACAACACAGATTTCAAGCTTAAAATCAACAAAGAAAACAAGGAACATCAATTTTAAATAATAGCAGCTAAGTGTTCCCACTTGTAAGTACCCCTCCCTCCCCTCACCCTTTTTCTGTCTGCAGGATAAAAGGGTTTCATGTCAAAGAACTAACATCAGGTTATTTTGTTCATGTTGAAATGCAGTGAGACAATATAAAATGTGAAAGGGACATTCTAGAAAGGATCTTCCTCTTGTATTCACCACTTGAGATCTCAAAGGCAAACTCTGGAGAGACAGCAGTGACTGTTGACACCTGCAATCCCCAGGCAATGTTGAATCAAATACAATAGTATTTAACAAGGACATTTGAGAGATGGGTGGAGGAGTCAATATATGAATTTATTATTTTCTGACACTGTATTGTCTTTCTTTAGGGACATTCTAAACACAGAGTTAGTAAAGCTTAACGTCCCTGTGCTGTAATAATGAAAGAGTCCAGATTACAGTCACTGGGGAGCTGATTGTTAGGTGAGAGTTGAGGGGTAGGAGAGGCAAATTTCCCACGTGCCCCACAGTGATACCGACTAAAACATCAATCTCCATGGCAAAGATCAACAACCTCTGTTTCTGCTTTCCCTGGGGCCTCAGAAGTATCCATATGTGTGCCATTCCATCGACCACAGGACTAAAAGAAAGATAAATGAGACTAGTACTTAACACAGTTGGTTTATGACGATCAATTTTAATACAGGGGCCCATAAATATAGGTAGAAAAAAGGAAACTGTCTCACTATTTTCTAGAGAATTTAATGATCGTTACATGGGGGGAAAGGCACACTGAAATTTCATGGTATTCAACAAAAAGGGTATAAGCAGAAGACATTTCCAAAGAATAGGCAGTCCATGGACAGTAAATATATATCGGGAAAGTAATGATGTGAAAATCCCTACTTTCTACTTAAGGTTACTTTCTGTCCTCTTGTTTAATCATTCTTTTGTCAGCTTCTAAACCTACTAAAGAACGTGATTTTCATTTTACATATACTATGAGTATCTGATCACTATCCTAAAAATGCAAATCAAAAACTCAAATATAAATGTAGTGAGCAAACATCTTATTGGTAAAAAATCAATTTGTGAATCTGAAAATGACAAACTCTACATGCTAGCACTCTCAGATTTAGCAAACATATCTCCTTGAGATTAATGACCTATGAGACGTTTTGTTTGCTGTCCAAATAATTTAGGAACCCAGGAAGGAATGCCATTGGGGGAGGTTTTGGCAAGGGTTTTTGAGTACAAAACACAAAAACATACAATGGGAGTTGGAAAATATTTGGAAAACTCAAAAACAACATCTTGTGTTAATTCTCAGCCACTTTGTGGCTAGCTTTCCTGTTCACCCCTTTGAGACTGATGGTAAAAGGGCACCTCAGGCCCTGTGACTGGTCTGCTTGCTGATATTTTATTCTGATTCCATTATAAAAAGAAACATGGAATGTAACTGGTGAGATATACATTTATTAAGAAACAGAAATACATGGCAATTCAAGCAATCTTGTCTGCAGTTAAAAGCAATCAGGCACGATATACGGTGCAAGAATACATTTCCTCTGACATAATGGACACTTTTTAAGATAGAAACAGATAAAACAGACATCCTATCACATAGAACTGCAGCCAAGCACTTATGCTTAAGAAAACGTTGCCTTACTGGTAGTGAGATTAGCTCTTTCAGACATAATGAAGTTCCAAAATTTCAAACTTAAACCCAGGGTTAGACCAAATAAGGGAGCTCTGAGGTGGCCCTGTGGTTGACGTAGCTCTGAGGTGGCCCTGAATTCTACCTCCACAGGCTTTCTTTGTTCCCAGGGGATGCCTCCAGGACCCTAAAAATCTAAAGAACCTAAGTCAGACAACCATAAATTTAGAGAGATTGACTTGAGCATAGGGATTATTAGATCATATGCCTGAGGTAAAGTATTTAGATACTTTAAAGGCAGATTACGCAAAATAGAAATTAAAATTAAAATGTTTTAAGGGGATATATTTTTAACTGAATGAATATTACTGTAAATATTGTTGGGGTAAACTTGGTTTATATAAACTTATATAACATTAGATAAGTTTTAAGTGTACATTATTTGACACCGTGATACACTACAGCCTGCTCATCCTCAAAAGATTAGGTTCCATTCAAAATTCAAAATGACTACTTCGAAAAACAACACTCATTGGTCTCCTGTTAATCCAGGTCATGAATTTTTCATAGACTCCAAGTGCAGGTCACGGTACCCACCTCCCCTGCTCTTTCACCGCATCTCTTTGCAGTGCTTGCCCCACATACTCGTTATCAAGCTCTGTTTATTCTACTCTTCTGCATCTCTCAGATCTATCCCTTCTCCTCCAGTCCTCCAGCAGTTACTTGTCCTAATTCAGACCCTTCTCAATTCTGCACCTGGATCTTCCTGATCATTCTAAAAGTCAGCAGCAGTGACCCCTGACCAGCCCTAACTCCTCCACAAGTGAGCCAGGGTTTTCAGTCTCATCCACCCTTAGTTCACAAAAAATGTCTGGACAGGGACCCTAACTGCCCCTCTGGTTCTCCCTTCGCTCCAGAGACCCTTCACCCTAACCCCCTGCATTCCTTGAACCTGTATCCTCTGTGCCTCTGCTCTTATCTCCATGTTCAAATGTCCTTCAGTCTAGACCTTCCTCACCCTGATGTTCCCCATCCTGCCTTTTCTGCTTGGCATCTACACTTCACTCAAGACTTAGCATCTACGTCTCCTGATAAAGTCCTCCCTAGTCTTCTTAAATATTGCAAACACACCTTAGATGTTATAAATAAGTTATCTTTATTACATGTGTGTGTTCAAAATTTCTCTGGAGATTTTAATTCTGCCTTAACCACTGGCCATCCACTTCCCCTACACAATCCCCCACACTCTCCTATCATATTCCCCAATTTTATCAACTATTGTAATTTTATCAACTATGTGAAGTTATCTTGCTTATTTAAATACTTTTAATTGCTTATTTATGTATTTTTTTTCTTCCCACACCCACCCTGTCATAAGAATGAAAGATCCATAATAGAAAGGGAATTTATTCATCTAACCCTGTCGTTCCTTATTATGTTCCCATTTCTGTACTTAACACATAATTAGTAATCAAGAAACACATAGTAGGTACTCAGTAAAGCTGTGTTGAATGAAATGAATAAAGTTTGTTTCTTTTTTTTTTTAATATTTATTCATTTATTTATACAAGCACTGGGCAGTCAGAAGCGCGGGAGGGTGAGAGGATTCACCAGAGTCAGAGCAGGAACAGAACAGGCAGGCCGACGAAATACTCAGCTGAGGGGAGCAGCGGGCGCAGCAGGACAGGTCTGTCGCACCATGTGGGACCCTTGCTCTGGCGGCCGGGGATCGAACCGGTGCTGCAGAGGCTGCACCGCCAGGGGAGGCCCAAGTTCGTTTCTTTTTAATGCAGATGTTATCTTATCAGAAAGGGCTTCCCTGACCACCCTATCTAAAATACCATCCATCAACACTCCCTGTATTTTACCTACTTTATTTTTCTCTTAACATCCATCATTACTTCTTAGTGGCTTTGTCTGTCTCCCCACATCAGCATGGGAGCTGATGGGCAGCAGGCAATTATGCTCGTCCCTGTTCCTGTGCTCAGAACAGTGCCTGGCAAGGGGCCAGCTCTCAAAAGATGTTTTGTAAATCAGTGAATTTAAATTAATATCTGGATTACACATCATATCAAGTAGTTTTGTCACATATTAAATTCTTTCCATATGTGCAGTACTTTTATTTTAATTGAAGTACTGACATTATCACTCCCATTCTATTAATTCTAACACAAGTACATCACTCAGGCATTTTGGTATGAGGCTTGTAACCACTGACATTTGTGTTCCTAATCCTTTTCCCACCCTAGATGCTTTATCTTCCCTGGTTCCTATTCCCCCATGTCCATCCCACTGCCCTTTCAGGGTCACTGGGCCACAGGCAGGTTCCCATCTTACAGAGCTTCAGGTCCAGGCAAGAACCCCTACTCTGCTCTTTTGCCTTCGTCTATCATAATTTGCCCCTCTACTTCACAGGGAAATGGCGAC